GATATGTTCTTAAAATCAACAACTTTCAAACTTGATGGCAATCAATCATCAACAATTTCGGGGCTGTAATAAAATGCTTCAATAATTTTAGTAAAATAATATTGCTTTGCTTCACTATTTGGAGCAGGTAATAAGTAATTTGAACGTAATCTATACAATATTTGACCCTAATTATCATCAAATATTTTCGTTTAGACGCTTAAATTTTCTTTATTTACTGCATCTTTAATTTATTCATTTTGTTATCAGATAATTTAAATCTCAGAAATTAATTTTTTAAAGCACATAATATTGCGTCTGTATTCTTGTAATACTGTTTTAAGTTTTTTTGTTTTTGAAGGCCCGGATATTTATGATAGCCTTTTTTTTCATTTACTTCTTTGGGGGTTCGGATTGTTCTGATAATGATTCCTAGATGCTTCTTTCTTTGTTTGTTGGTTCTTATGATAGTGATCTCTAGAGGCTTGCTTCATTGGTTGTGGATTCTTATGATTCTGATCTCTAGAGGCTTCTTTCAGTTGTTGTGGATTCTTATGATACTGATCTGAGGCTTCTTTTTTGTGGTCTGGATTACTCCTATAATTTGTTTTAAAATAGCAAGTTAATTTTAAAATTTTGCTGTCCTTGTTTTTACAAAACCAATTCTTACGTTTTTGCAGAATAAAACATGGGTTCAATGCATGAAATTTTTTTGAATATTGAAGCTTATATTTCTTACTTATCTTATATGCAACTCCAGCTTTGCTTTTGACCCTGTTACAATGCCTTTTATAGTAGGCTCTAGCATAGGACCTGTTATTAGATATAAAAGTTTCCATTTCCCTTTTATTATGATATATCTTTGAGAACATTTTTTGGATTTAGTCCCAGTTAATTCACTTTTCCTATTCCTCCTCCCTTTTTTACAAATAACAGCACAACAACTACACTTAACATTAAGACAATAAATGAGTACCATATTACCAAGTACATATATGCAGGAGGTACAACTAACCTACTGCTTATTATGATTAACAAAACTGTATAGACTTATCTCAATGTATCCAATATCAGAAGTATAATGACATATACTGAACTCTAGTGATCTGGTTTAGGTACAAGTGTCCAAAATTATGAAAACTTAGCAGCTATAAAATTATTTTGCAGCTCTGTAAAATTATAGTTTGCTCTATGATAAAAGAAGCCTAATTTGTTAGAGTTGTTTCAAAATAATTTACCTGTTAGCTCTTGAAGGAAGTGTTAATCACTTAGTCTGTGCACTGCTGAACACACAAGTATGCACAGAAAGAGAAGAATTAAGCAAATATTGACCCTGTGCAGTCAGTCGCTATGGAAAATCTGCATGCGCATTAAGTTTCAAAATGGCGACAAATTTTAAGGAGCAGTCATATCACGCCCAAATAACTACTATAAAATGCAATATGAATTATGATATGACAAGCACCTTTGTAGTCCTTGACTCATGCTCCAAGGAATGATGTGAAAGTCAACGTTAGCTGTTTACTAGTTTAAAGGATTATCCGGTGCATAGAAGAAGATGGAAGATGAACAAGTCTCAAGAATTTTTGCAGAAATTTGAATTTGGGCCTATTATATAGACATACTTCTGCTACACTTCAGTCCACTTTAAAGGTAACAGGAGAATCGCTCAGTGCAGGAGAGCTCATCTAAGCCATTTATAAAGCTGTACAAGGTAAGATAGAAGAGTTATAATCATTTGAAAATTATAAACTTGGTCCCCATCTTGACAAATCAACCTCAACCCTACATATAGGCTACCGCTTATGTAATAGCTTATGCACAGTCATTGCAGGACTGATAAACTTTTAGGAGATTATTTTGATGAATCCGACTTCAAGAATCACCCTTTGTTTTCTCAGGACAAGAGATTTTTGCCGGTGATGCTGTTCTATGATGACTTGGAAATTTATAACCCTTAAGGGACTAAAGTTAAACTGCATGAAATTGGTACCTTTATTTTAAGTATACTAAATTAAGGTTTGTACAAATAGTTATCTTTTACTGTTTTCTTGCCAATTTGAGCCATCACTTGTGTTCACAGTTATTATCCATACAACTTTTCGCAATTGTAAAAGCATCTTCAATAAACAAATTTGGTTTTGATGCTAATTCAGAACCATTTTATGAATGACATCTAGTTAATAATTAAATAACATTAAACAGAATTATTCACTAACCAGCATATTCTTCTTTTCCTGAATATATTAACTTAATCTGAGTATTAAATAATAAAATACAGTTGTAATGAGCTGTAATTACAACGTATTTTCCTACTGTACTTACTTTGTACAGTAGGACAATGAGGTGTAAATAATTATATCATTATCTTATTGTAAAAGAAGTGTGGTTTGTACAAAAAAAGAATTGAGAGAAGAGACAAGTTAAAAGAGGGAAAAGTTTAGGAGAGATACACAAACATATTATACTGTAATTAAGTGAATGCTATATTGTAGTTTAGAAAAAAAGGAGCAGGCCAAGTAAAAAGGTATAGCAATAGAGGAGAAGACCACATGTACACAATGTAATAAAGATGCATATAAATGCTGCATGTGGTTGACATTAGGTGACCAATAGGTTAGTGGCATAACTTATCATTTCATTTAAGTTCCTATAATGTGAGGTAATTGCCCTAGCTGTGATTGTATTATCTCTTCAGGTGATGATGGTGCTAGATAAAGCTGTCATTGCTGTAGAGAAGAAGTACTTTTTGGATTGCCATTTGTGCCTGCTCAAGAGTTAGGAAATTGAGTGATATCTTATTTGCACCACCATTTTTCTCCTGCGACTACTAACGAGCACTGCTAACAGTTGTCGTCTTCAAGAAAAATAGGAGGAAGATCATTGACTACTTTTTGTTCAAGAAGGACCACCTTTTGAAAAGAGGACTGTCAGTGTATGTATCTACATATAGCATACCATTTGAACCCGTTCATGAGGATGAACAAAAATGACATGGATTGGATGAAAGCAACAACATCTCTACTATCTGGAGTGACTTACTCAGATTTGTGGATAGTCACTCCCCACGCAAGCTTAAGTGGTAGTTAAAGGTCGGAACATTGGGCACCTGAAGACCAGTTTTTGTTTGAGTGATTGATACAGTTCCATCATGCACTTTGTCCAGTGTAATGATCAAATCGTACCATTAAGTCACTGGTAGAGATGGAGGTTCCTGGTTTAGTTAGCTCGTACTGTATAGCTTCAACTGTTCCATTGCTCGAATGACCAATTCCATGTCGACCCATAACTTGTTTGTAAGCCTAGCTCGTGCTGATTTTGAGAGCTTTACAAGTGAATCAAAACCACCATCATCATTACGTGATGCACTGCTTGCATTGCCTGCAGTGTTTTATGCCTTGATTTCAGCAATTGGCTGACCACATTCCATTAACTTTTCAACAATGTATTTAGTAACTTTATTAACATGTCAAATTAGTCGGAGAGCATTAACAAATAATGAATGATCTGATATTTTGTTAGGAATCTGTTCTGTGGCATGTTCTCAGTCTTCTTCTATTGCTTCCGCATATCAGAGCCAAAAAAAATTGTGACGGAGTCTCACTTGTTCAAGATCCTGTCAAGACTGTCTCATCATGTGGTTCAGAAGAAATGCTGTAGTGAATTGACTGAAAACTCTGCCCCTGGAAATTGACTGTGTGGTGTATAGAGGATATCAAAACACTAGAGGTAGTTAGCCAAAGTCTCCAAACAGTAAAAAAATGGAGCACCCATCAAACAGTACCTGTGACTTCTAAGGAAAGGCTTATCCCAACCTCCTGTCAATCATCCCAAATGTTATTACAGAAACCATTGATATCTCATGAATGATGAGGTACTTGGCACTTGACATCTCTTCGTGGATGTTATGCAGATTGATTCCTTCCAGGTCTTTAAAGTCATGTAAGTGTAGAAAACTTTGTTGCATCCTTGTATGTATAATACATGCTGCCACTCCAGTTAGCGCCGCTACTTTAAGACTGGTACCCAGCAATAACCTCAGAGTGTTGATGACATATGATTTACCAATACCAGCTGTACCATTTTAGAACCACTGTCATTAAATGTAAAAAGGGCATTTGCCATTTTCTTCAACAAAGATGAAACATAATCAATCGTATTAAATTACAAAAAGGAGTGCACTTCATTAGTGTAACGTTTATTAGGACTATTAACAAACTCAACGCAATACAATAATTGTAAAAAATGAGCAGGAAGAGGGAAAGAAAACATGGGGAGAGTAGAGTGAACAAGTGAACAAGAGTCGAACACACACATACTTACAAACATGCATATAGGAAATAATAAGAAACCACACAGGATATTCACGTCACACGACTATCAAAACAATAACAATTAATAACAATAACTATACAAAATATTACGTCACATTTCTCCTCAGTCAGCCAGACTCCATATCTATCTGGGAAAAGAGTGTGATGCCAAATCTTAGTTCATCTTGAGTCTTGGAGGTATTCGTCTAATGATCCTCTTGTTGAGTATCAACGTCAGGTAGATCGACTTCTTTTTGAGCTGGTACTGAATAAGGGAGAAAATTCAAATCTCTTTGATTTTGTCTGATGATTCAGCTTCCACAGTATCAGATAGAGTAGACTCTTCCCTTTCAACAGTTCCCTGCTCTGTTCATCTGGAATCCAGACTTGATCTCCTGCAGTGAGTGGTTTTGTTTCCTTGCTCTGTGTCTTATAACGACTTGTAGTTGTGAACGACAGAGAAAATGAGCTGTATTTAGCTCTTGTCCTGGAACATGCATCGTCTCAATGGTATTTCATCATTCTGAGTCGAAAACTTTGCACTCCAATAGGTAGATCTTCCAGGTTCTTTGTAGATAGGAGAGGTTTGTGATCAGTTTCAAGAGTGAATTTAGATCATAGGAGATATTGACTGAGTCTTTCACAAGCCCATGTTAGAGCTAGTGCTACTTGTTTGCAATTACCTGTTTCTGTCAGAGTACTGCGCACAATCTATGTGATTCTGCTTCAGCAGATACTCTTGTCTCCCTCTCTGGATCAAACAGTGCTGGTGTACCAGTAGACCTCAAACCATTCTTTAACTCTGAGAACACATGTTCTTGTTCTGGTCCCCAGTACCACTGTGACTTCTTGGAGAGTAGCTCACGGAGTGGCTTTGTCTTTTCTGCCAGATTAGGCGAGAACTTACTAAGTTGAATTTTTATTCCCAAAAATCTTCAAATTTCTGTTACGTTTGTTGGTCTTGGGATATTGCAAATCGCTTTGATCTTTTATATCATGAGAGACTACATCTTTATCGACCTTTTGACCTAAAAAAATAGATTACATTTTTTTGAAATATAGATTTATCAATATTTAGAGTGACACCTTTCTTAAGTCTTTCCAAGACTATTGTGAGGCATTCATGATGCTCTTAATCCATCTTTCCACAGACTAGTATGTCATCGATTAGTCTCATGACACTATCACTCCCTCTTCATATCTCAGATCCTCTTCTGAGAAACCTCCAGGGCTGAACTTATACCAACGGGTAATTGATTAAACATGTACCTCTCAAAGGGAGTAATGAAGGTAGTCATTTTCGAGGACTCAGGCAATAACTCAATTTGGCAAAAACAAAAATTGCCATCCAGCTTAAAAAATACATCGGCATCTCCCACATTAGGTAAGACCTTCTTGTTTATAGTTGGTAATGTCTCACATTTCACATAGTCATTGAGTCAAGTCAAATCTACACATTTTTACTGAACCTCCTGGTTTCATTACTACTATCATCCTAAAGCACCAGTTAGTTGGTTCATCAACTTTAGAAGTAACTCGTTAGTTTAACATCCACTCCAGTTCCTGTTGAACCTTCAGTAGTAATGGAATGGTATAGGCACTCTTTTGGGTGTACTCACTGAATAAGGTTTAGCTCCATCCTCCAGCTCTATATGGTAGCTCCCTTTGATTGTCCCTAGACCACAATAAAGCACATGGTATTCAGTGACAATGTATTCTTTATTTCCTTTGATTCCTAATATACATGTGACGAGATTTAGACTTTGTATATCTGGGTGACTGATTAGTGGTGTCTGCAATCCACTGACAACGTGTACGCACACTTGTGACCTCTTGTTAAGTCAGCATTAAAACACCCTATCACCTATAGTACATGGTGACTCGGACCAGACAGTGTAATTCTAGCTGGCTTCAGTGGTCCATCTCTCAATTCCTCAGGTATGACTTTGATATCAGCTCCTGTATCGATCTTGAATACGATGTGTTTCCAGTTAGCTTGGCTCTTGATACTGCATGGCTGATTGTTGTTTTAAGTGATAATTCCCAGATATTGAATGGTCTCTGTTTGCTTAGTAATATCATTTACAGAACTTCTGCAAACCCTTTAAAAATTCTTTATGTTACCACATTTATAGCATTTAGTTTCTTTAGCTGGGCAGTGCTCCCTGCCTTGTGGGTGGTTGTTCCTACATATGGTACAAGTCTTGCTATGTTTCTGAGGCTGAACTCTGGTTGACCTGGGCCTCTGCTGCATTGGCAGACATCTCCTTTCAGGCTTCTGTTTGTCACCCTTGGTCTAAATATAGTCCACCTCAGCCTAGACTCGTCTGTCAGCTGTCTCCCATAATCCAGGCTCTTACTTCTTTATAGCTTCATTCTCTCATGCTAATTTTGTTGCTTTAGCTAAGTCTAACCCTTTCTCCTACTGCATCTTTTCTGATAATGCATGGTTATTGATCCTTACTTAAAGACGCTCGCGAATTATTTGGTCATGTAAAGTTCCTTACTCGCATTTGGCTGCAAGATTATGTAGACCAGTGATGTAAGCTAGCAACTGCTTACCATTTTCTTTGTACCGAGTGTTAAATCTAGCCCTTTCATATGTAGTATTCTCTTTTTATTGAAGAACTGATCGAATCTAGTCTAAACTGTCGTGTTTTGCTTGAACTCATCTTCTCATTGTACAAATGAAGAAACAGTATCATCTGTGGTGTCAGTGGTGTAGGATTAATATGAAAGTTGGGGAGGGGCTGCATTTAAATAATTTCATTTAATCAAATTGTCCGAAAAAAGTATACGTCTATCATTGAATGCAATAGACTCCTTTGCAATATTATGATGATTTAAGTCATCAGTTTTGTTTGTGTGTATGTAAAAGCATGACATGATTTAGGCGTTCCTGTGACATTTTGCTTCTTCAATAATTCTTGAGTCTTCGGAGCTTAGAGAATGTGTGCTCAGCAGTAGCTGTTGTCATAGGCACAGTCAAGTACAGCTGCAGAAGTTGATAAACTTCAGAAAACATGGTTCTAGTCAATGACTAATAATATCACAAATTGTTCAAACTGTAGTCACTTCCTTAATGCATCCCACACCATCAGCATTAACTGCCTTCATTAGCTCTGGCGTCATAAAAATTTGTACCACTCAGCTGTCTAAATCACTGATGGATGAATAGTTGCTAAGTAGCTCATCAGAAGGTTTCTTTATGCCATTCCTGCAAGCATTGGTAAGAATATCTTCTATTTCTTGAAGAATGAAACGGTTTCTGCCTTGAATTTGACGATTAAGCTCTGCTATGAGAATATCAAGTGCCTCTTAATATTTACACATAAAGTAGTCTTTAGGTGTGTCTGGATAGAATGGTTCAGTGCTTGAACCAGTGCAACGTGTTGGTCGCCTTTTTTTTGGAAGTGTAGGCTCATATGTTAAGCGTACTTATTCCAGAAAAACTGCCTCCCACAAAACATTGAAACTGTCATCTGACCTTTGCCCCTCAAGAAACTGTGTAGCCATTTTTACTGCTTGATTACAAATTTCAGCTGACATGTTTTTACTTTGTAGGGTAGTAGCTAGTTGCTCAACTGCAACAAATATTAAATAAAATAGTTTTAGACCAAAATAGGTCTGATATTGTTCCATGTTCACAGCAAGACCAGCAGCTTTTGATGAGACATCTCCTGTATTATTTTTACTAATTTGATTCAAAGCATCCTGCAAAACTTTACAATTTGTTAGCATACTTGAAATTGCACTAGCTCGCACAGTCCATCTTGTGGGACATAGCAGTTTTAATGACCGTGAAGATGCTGGGCAACCTTTCTACTAACCTTTAAATAAGATTAGGCGTTTCTGAGATAATTAAATTTTGATCAAATTAAATATCTCATTATCGAATGACAAAGTGTCTCTTACAACTTTACATTGCTTTTTACAATCCTGCATTCAGAGATTTACACAATGTGCTGTACAATTAACATAATGCCTTTCAGTCATCATTTTGTGTTCTTGCTGCTACTCTACTGAGTTGGCCAGACATATTGGCAGCCGCCTGCCAACAACATTTTGAAATAGATAATTCACAACAAATCAAGCTGTCAAGAATGACTGATTTCAAACAAGCAGCATCTGTTGCTTCAACAAAAGGTAAGCCTATTGAATCTTAATGTACACTGAAAAAACAAAAAGTTAATAACCCCAGGTTGGTTACTTTCACCACTAAATTTAATAGTTATTGTAACCAATTTTTTGTTTTCTTAACTAATTTTAGGTTAATTTTGATCTGAGGCGTTATTTTCACCAAATTAAGTTATTTTAACATCTTGTAAAGTTGTTTTAACTAATGTAAGTTGTAAAAGTAACTACATCGTAAAGATTAATTTAACCTCGGGGGTATGGTTACGCACACTGATCATGCGCAGAAGAGCAGTGCGTGTGGTCCCTGGGCAGTTGCAGCTGCAGTCTTTTTTGTCATTTGCCCACCATTATTAACTCTGCTTTTGCTGTTTTATTAGTACTGTTCCTGTCTTTTAAGATGCACTGAAATAGTTCAATAGGTGAGCCAAACATTG